GATGAGGAATCAATTTGAGGTAAAACCATGGTAACTTAATTGACCAAAACTGCACAGCTACTGGTACTAGTCCTTGCATGTCTATCATCTCCCTTGTAACTTAACACTTAGAATAAGCCCCAAGGCACCAAGCTAAATTAGCATTGCTACTAGGCAAAGAATAACAACTCTCCTATACTCTCCAAACTGCTACCATCTTAAATTAGACAGAATCATACTTATTTTTTCCAGTTTTCATAAATCAGGAGTGAAAAGCTGACCAACATAGCCTAGAGTAAAATATCTTCAGGAGCAAGAAAAATCTTTTTAGAATAATTAATACATTCATACAAAGTTATTCACCTACAGTAGTCCCCAACCTTTTTGGCACCAAGGACCAGTTTCATGGAAGACAATTTTTCCACAGATGAGAGATAGGGGGGTGGGGAGGGTAAGAGTGTGGGAGGTGTGCCTCAGGTCTCGATATACAGCCTGGTTCTTAATAGGCCACACACCTGTACTGGGCCATGGCCTAGGGGTTGGGGACCACAGACTAGAATATGAAATAATGAAAACTAAGCAAGGAAAAGTAATTAATATTTATTTAATTTCATCTCTACCTCCCAAGGGAGAGAAAGAGGATCTTTTTACCTTAGAATTCAAACTAACAAATATTTTGGATGTATTTGGAAAATGAATATGTAGTAAACTAGCTACAGTGCTGAAGAAATTTCCCAAATCCCTATTTTCTTTAGCTGAGCAATTTTTAAATATTCAAGAAAAAAATAACTATTAAATGACCTAGGCCTCACTTAAAACTACATCTAGATATTTTTAAAGTTCCTGTTATGATCAAAAGTTTCATTTGTAAATTCACTGTTGAAGGTGATGTGGAAAATAGTAATTAAGTAGGTGATTGATACAAGTGAGTGTATGACTCATAGTTTGCAAAGGAAAATGATTTTTGGGAAAAGGCTCAGGAAGAAGAGAAGCAAATAATGGATTATGGATGAAATGAAGACCTTTCCTGTCCAAGGACTGTCACCAGTTCTTTATTACTTGAAGATTAAGGGAATAGTGAATAAAGCTGTCTGCCAGACAGCAGGAAAGGTAAGAAATAACATTGTCTCTAAGTATACCTCACATTAAAGTTTTCAGAAATAACATTCATAAAATTAAACTTTCTATAAAAAGTTACTGGAAAACCCAACTCAAATCAGAACAATCAAAATGTCAAAATAAACCAACATTACATTTGTCAGGAACTTGAACAGAATGAAACAGCACTACAGGTCAAGTTGTAGAATTGTCTAATTTTATGCTACTTGGTTTCAGAAAAAAGGCTGATACAATACTGATTTACTAGTAGGCGTACTGGGGTTTATTTTTATTTGTTTGTTTTTCTATTCCATGGGTTAGTATAAAATAAACATCTGGTTTTGTTACTGGGCTTCAGTAAATTGATACAATGTACTTTGGTTTTTGACTCCAGAAGTCAAATTCAATCCACTTAATTCAGTTCCAAATTTTACTAACTGCACGCCCCATATACATATATATATATATATATACATATCTGTATATATATGCACATATATATTTAAATATTCTTTTTAAAAAACTCATGATTAGGTATGGGTTGTAATTGCTATCCCTGCATTTTGAATCTTTAAAGAAAACCATGAGAATTTTGTTTTGATGAAGTTGTATTCGACAAGAACTTTTACCCAAATTAATTTTTTAATTTACATTTTCATGCATATTTTGGAGATCCTACTATGTGACAGCATTGATCTAGATGCTTTATAAACATAAACTCAATTAGGAATGCTGAGTTTAATTTGTTACATACATACTGCCTGAGGAGAGGGTAAATAGTATTTTTATGAAGCATCCCATGTCCTATCACTCACAGCTTTTGTATAAGCAACATCCAGCCATTCCAGTATACTTTATGCATATAGCTTAGATTACAGGCGTCCTCAAACTACGGCCTACGGGCCACATGCGGGTGTTTTTGCCCATTTGTTTTTTTACTTCAAAACAAGATATGTGCAGTGTGCACAGAAATTTGTTCATAGTTTTTTTTAAACTATAGGCCGGCCCTCCAACGGTCTGAGGGACAGTGAACTGGCCCCCTGTTTAAAAAGTTTGAGGACCCCTGGCTTAGAACTTTGTTCATGAAAACTGCCTGATCCAACTTGAAAAAAAATCTCAGGGAAAAAAAAAAAAACAACAAAGAGCCATGGCTGTGTGTGCATGCACATGTACGTATTTCCTACACAAGAGATCTGAACCCAAGCAGTCCAGTTCCAGAATCTTTCCTCTTAACCACTAAGCCATATGCTGCTTTCCTATATGCTAGAAAAAGGAAGTGTGACTTTTAAAATGAAAATAATTGATTTAAGTAGAGTAGCTTCTAGAACAAGAGATCACATTTCTGAAGTCAGTACACTAAGTATCAGCATTAAATTATAAACAGATATTTGAAGAAAATTTACTACAATAAAGATTTTTTCTTTTGTGAATATACTTAACGGAAAGTTTCTAGCTTTTTCATTTTGAATATTACATCACCTGATATTATTGTTATACCTATAGAGATTTTAAAGCATTTTATAATTTAGGATCTTATTTAATCCTGCCAGCAACACTATACGGTAGGTGTGATGGCTAATTTCATGGGTCAACTTGGCTGCGCCACAATGTCCAGATAGTTGATCAAACAGTATTCTAGTTGTTTCTGTGAATGTGTTTTTTTAGATGAGATTAACATTAAATGTGGTGGACTCTAATTAAAGCAACTACTCTCCATATGGATTATGAGGGTGGGCCTTATCCAACTAGTGAAAGACCTTAATAAAGCAAAGACTGACCCCCTGCTCAAACAAGGAATTAGGTCAGAAGATTGCCTTTGGAAACATAATACAATTCTTTCCTGGGCCTCCAGCCTGCTAGCCAACTCTACAGATTTTGGAATTACCAGTGCTCCACAATCTTATGAGCCAATTCCTTAAAATCTCTCATTCTTTCTCTCTCCCTCCATACACACACTCAGACACACACACGCATGGGTTTGAACTGTGGGGCCTACTTCCTTGTATTCTTTAGCCTCCGCCACCCGAGACAGTAAAGCCAATCTCTCCTTTTCCCCTTCCTCTTAAGCCTACTCAATGTTAAGATGATGAAAATGAAGACCTTTATGATGATCCACTTCCACTTAATAAATACTAAATGTATTTTCACTTCCTTTTGATTTTAACATTTTATTTTCTCTAGCTTACTTTATTATAAGAATGTAATATATAATACATACATCATATAAAATATGAATTTATGTTATTGGTAAGGCTTCTGGTCAATAGTCAGCTATAAGTAATAAAAGTTCTGGAAAGTAAAAACTTATACATGGATTTTCTACTTCATGGGGGGTCAAGCCCCTAAGCCCAAGCTGTTCAAGGGTTAACTGTATGTGTGTTTCACCTACTCATCCTGTTGGTTTTCTCTGGAGAACCCTAATACAGCAAGGTAGTTGAAAACTAAGACTAAGAAAACAGAGAACAGGAATTCAGAAATCAGACCTATGTCTTCATCTCCAGTCATTCCTGAAAAGATTATAAAATTCTCAAGAAGCTATGCTGCAATTCAGTTTTCTTAGGTTTCATTGTTGTTTTGTTTTGTTTTGTTTTGTTTTGTTTTGTTTTGAGACAGAGTCATGCTCGGTCACCCTGGCTAGAGTGCAGCGGCGTCATCACAGCTCACTGCAAAATCAAACTCCTGGACTCAAGCGATCCTCCTGCTTCAGCTTCCCAAGTAGCTGGGAAAATAGAAGCACGCCACAAGACCTGACTAATTTTTTCTATTTTTAGTAGAGATGGGGGTCTTGCTCTTGCTCAGGCTTGAACTCCTGATCGCAAGCAGTCTTCCCACCTTAGCCTCCCAGAGTGTTAGGATTACAGATGTGAGTGGAATTCAATTTTCATACCATAACCACTCAGCCGGTATAATGTTCCTTTTCTTTTAAAACTGTTATTTGACAAAACTAATCAAAACTGGGAAACAATCTGTGAGATCCTCAAAACATAAAGCATAAAGCAGTTCTACTCCTAAATATAAACCCAAGAAAATTGAAAACATATATCCATACAAAAACTTGTATGCCAATGTTCATAGCAGCATTATTCACAATAGTGACAAAGTAGAAATAACATAAATGTGCATCAATTGACAAATGGATAAACAAAACGTGACATAACCATACAATGGAATGATTCAGCATTAAAAAGAACAAAGTACAGAAACATGCTACAACATGGATGAACTCTGAAAACATACTGAGTAAAAGAAAGCAGATACATAAGGCCACATATTATATAAATCCATTTATATGTAATGTACAGATTAGGCAAATCCATGAGACAAAAAATAGAATAGTGGTTTTCAGGGGCTGTGGGAAGAAGGTCAATAGAGAATGAACACTAATAGGTATGGGGCCTCCTATTGGGGTGATAAAAATGTGCCTGAATTAGATAAGTGATGACTGTACAACCTCATGAATATAGCTGCTCCTCGACTTACTCTGTAGTTATATCACAATAAACCCATCGTAAGTTGAAAATATCATAAATCAAAGTGCATTTAATACACCTAACCTACCAAACATGTTAGCCTTGCCTACCATAAAAGTGCTCGAAACACATTATCCTACAGTTGGGCAACATCATCCAACACAAAGCCTATTCTATAATGACGTATGAGCTATCTCATGTAATTACTGAATATTGTACCAAAATTGAAAAACAGATCAGTTGTGTGGGTACTCAAAGTATGGTTTCTTCTGACAGTATATTGCTTTTGCACCATTATAAAGTTAAAAAATTGTGAGTCAAACCATTGTAAGTCAGCTACCATCTATAAATTAAAGGCCACTGAATTGTACATTTTAAAATGGTGAATATTATGATAGGTGAATCATATCTTAACAAATAGAATGTTAAAAAATAAAAGACTAAGCTACTCACCTGCCCTTTGTGTGGTGCCAAACATCGAACAACTTCATCCACCATTACTGGAATATGTAATTTAGCCACAGCTTCACAATCTCTATCTGGAGAGTTGTGGAACTTCTGAACTCCAGTTTGATCTGTTTGCTCTTGGGCTTCACATTCATTATATCTTCCTGCTGTAGTATGGGTGTTTTTTTGCCAGACACCTAAATTAAGTATGCCAGATTCAAACCCGCAGGAAAGAAATTCTTTATATATTCTACAAAAATGTGGGTATCGAAGCATTCTGTAGGTCAACAAATCTAGAAAAAAAATTTTAAATATGGTGATTATTGGATTTTATAAAAGAATATTGTACTACTTTAGGGAAAGCAAATATATATGAAATATTTTACACACCAAAAAAGAATGTTAAGACTCTAGTACAGGGGTCCTCAAACTTTTTAAACAGGGGGCCAGTTCACTGTCCCTCAGACCATTGTTGGAGGGCCAGACTAAAGTTTTAAAAAAAACTATGAACAAATTCCTATGCACACTGCACATATCTTATTTTGAAGTAAAAAAACAAATGGGCAAAAACACCCGCAAGTGGCCTGTGGGCCGTAGTTTGAGGACGCCTGCTCTAGTATCTAAACATCTTAAAAAAGTGAAGGTGACTAAACTCCTTACACAAAGCAAGGAAACTAAGAGAACCCAGAAACATAATTTAAATATAAATATACATTTTAAATGTCCCCTGATAAGCTGTAAGACCACTAATGTTTTAACCATCAGGGATATAAAAATTGATGATTCAGTCAATATTTTTCTGAAATACATTTTTTTGAATTTTTATTAGCTCTAAAGAGTGGGTTCAAGGAGCTAACACTTTATTTGAAAAGCTATCTGGAAGACTGAAAAGATTATAAGTTATTATTCTCTTTTAGGTTCAGATGGTCTTTTATTTCAAACTCTTCTGTTTCTCTCATAATTCTAAATTCTCATCTTCAATCTTACTTTGTGTGAGAGACTGTCTCTGGAAGAAGACTAAGTGTGGACATCCAAAAATAAATGGAGATGATCAGTCTGTAAAAATCTTGCAGGTTTATCAACAGATATTCTCTGATAAGAGCATCTTGCCACAACGTGTAACAGTGGAGTATATATTAACTTAAACTATAACTTTACAAACACTCAATTGAGCACACTTTAGCATTTCATATCCATCTTTGTTTTAATTGCCTGTCCCCTGTGCCCAAAAAACAATCAAGTAAATATTTGATTCACTCCTTGAATTTCTCATAATTGTTACATTTTTTCTGCAAGCTGTAACTCTTTAAAATGCAAAGAAAAAAGTATTTATATAAATATATTAACAAAAAACTTTTTGAAAACATTATGCTTTTTGGCCAGTTGGTTTCAAAGCAACATTTTTGATACTACCACAGTAAATACACAGTTATCACTATACTTTCCTCACAGATGATAACTTATTAAAGAATAAGAACCACACTTCTGTCCACATAATCAGATGCACACTAGGTGCTTAATAAATGTTTTCTGGAGAAAAAAATGAATAGATGGATCAATTACAGACTCCACAAAATTAACTTTTTTATCAATCTTCACCAGAAAATTCCACGTATCTTACTAACCCCACCAAAAACCACATTCTCAAAATATTTCAAAAAACATAAATCCCACTTAAATACATCTTTCCTTTCTTTGCAATAAAAAGTGAACAGTAACATTGAAAAGTTGATCAGATGTAATGACAAAAACAGAAAGAAATACAAATACATGATATATAATATCCAGAAAATGTTACCTTGAGGATATTAATTAACTTTACCAAAGACATAATTCATAGAATTATGTGTCAAATGTGACACTGGAAAAATGTGGCCAAAAAATATATATATAAGAAATGAGAAGTAAATTTTTAGATGTTCAGCAGTAAAAATTAGCCAGATTATTTAATTATGCCTTAGGTTTCCAGAGACCTTGTACAAAGAAAACTCAACTACCCTCCAACTTTGTGTTTCTAAAGTTTTTCAAAATAATAGATAACATTTAGCACTTACTAAGTAGCATCTACTATTCTAAGCACACTACATTTACTAACTCATTCAATCCTTACCACAACTTTTGGAGGTAGGTATTATTATTCCCATTTTACAGATGAGGAAAACTAAAGTAATTTGCCAAAGGTCACACAGCTGGAGAGTCATAAAACTAGAATTGTAACACAAGCAGTCTATCCCCATACCCTGAAGCCTTAATTCCCACACAATAAACATAGTCCACTGGAACTATTTAATGCATTCATGTAATTCTATGTTACTTTTGAAACATCTCCTAAGTTAGATTCAATTTTTTTTTTCAGGAACCCAAATCCTCTGGCTTGGTCCTGCTCTACTTAGAAATAACAGTATGCTGCAGGGTAACCCATAGAGGACATACAATGTGCAGGCCTAAATATGAAATATTCAAACAACCTACATTATATGTCCATATTTGGATAATAAATAAAAAAAAGCAACAGCATCAATTCCAATATAGGAATGAGAACCACACCACACGGAGAAAAGGAGAACAGATAGAAAAAATTCTGTCACTACCATTTAATTTTTCTCTACTACACTTAATTTCTATAGATTTATTCTACTATGGTCAGGGTATAATGACTGAAGATTTTATTATGAAGTAATTGGCTACTAATTTGGGTCAACAGAGAAAGGGCCACAAATAATTTTTTTGTGTGTGTGTGGTGGTTTCCTGGAATACTTCCTCGAAAATGGAAAAGGACAAGCTCTAAAGAGAATTCCCTCCTCCTTCTCTGCAGCCCAATCTCCTACCACACAATCCAGAGCCCTCCTGTAGTTTTTTAAAGCCAGCTATCCTAAATAATTTAAGATTGTTTAAATTTCATCTGGTCTAGGAAGGAAGCAGGGAGTCAGAAAATCTGAGTACATAGTGTCCTAGGTAAGTCATTTAACTTTACCAGCAAAATTCAGTTTAAGCTCTTGAGTCCACAAAATTGCCCAGATTAATCTTTCAGTTGTGGGAACATAAGGGTGAGTGATGCCCATGAAAATTACTTCCTCAAGGGTGCTAACAATTAGCATCAATGCAGTCAGTTTTTCCCTGCAGGGAAAATTCTCTTTGAAAACATAGTTCTTAAGACCAAAAACACAACCTGGATGGACATTGTCTCCCGAATTCAGAGAAAGTGAAAGAGGTTCTAAGAAAAAGGGAAAATGCACTCTTTTGCCTAAGCATTACAATCTGACGAGGCAAAACTATTTAAAAACTTCTAAACCCAACTTGAAGGCGTGTTGTGGAGAGCACGAGCGTGTATTTCCTTTCACTCGGGCGAATTCCGGCGACCCCTGGGAGTACTCCCAAAGGTGGTGTTTTCCAAAAGAGCTCCCGGGACTCGGTCACCTTCTCCTCACCTGAGGCACGACGATTTTTCAGTTGGCCTCTAACTTGGGCCACCGATGAAAACTATGGTGCTGGAGGACCTGAACTTGCCGCACGTCTAGGTCCCAACCCTGGGGAAAACTTGCAAGGACGGACAGATTGAACCCACGTCCGCCACAGCAACCGAGGACCGCTTGCCTTTAGTTCCGCTGCTTCCAGCCCCCGCTACCAAAGAAAAGGTCTTGCTGGCGCTGGAGTTTCCAAACGACGTTCCTGGGGAGAAATAAATAAAACTTCACCACTGCCATGTTTAAATTCACTTTTCCAAAATGAGATAAATTTTAAAAAAGATAAAAAAGTAAAATAATACAAAATAAAAGAATAAACTCACTTTCCTTTTTTTAAAAAATGTGTGAGGCAACTTTAAATCTAACTTTCCATTTATTGTTCTCTCTTCAGTTTACTATGAACATAAATTACATTTTTTCTAATAACGCGATATAGTTATTCTCCAATTTCTAACAAGAAGTGGGAATTTCTGTCTCCTTAGCTCTATATGTTTAGAAAGTATTGATTCTTTTTTTCTTCATTTCGTTACAAAATACACCATTCTCTTAACCTGTCTGTTGTACTTCCTTAATATCTTGACAAATTAGAGTAGCCAGCTGGCACAGTAATGGCATTGATTGTAATTTCAAATATCTCTGTTTTCACCAAATGTACAATTCCTTAAGAACACAGGCCTCATCATCTGAACACTGCCAAACTGCAATTGTAATGCCAAGTTCGAAATTAAATGAAAAGTACTTAGATTAGGTGTGGAAACATCTGAGACTGATAAGCCTTATACAATGTGGGTGTTTTAAAAAAGACAAAATTTAAAACACTTCTATTTACGTATTCACCAATGATCAATGCAATTTTACAAGAAATTGGCAAGATATGCATATTTTCAGACTACATTAATCTAGAAAGTATTTCAGAGACAACTCAATTCTGAATTGGCTTGTTTATACAGTTCAAGACAAATATTTTCCATTAGGGATTTTCTGGAAACTTCAGTTTTATCTCAGTAAAATGGAGATAACAGTACCTACATTTCATGGGCTGTTTTGAGAATTAAATGGGATAACATATGTAAAGTAACTAATAAAATGTCTGGGATATCAAAAGTAAATATTAATACTATATACAAGTGCATATTTGAAATAAAATGTCTTCTCTATTTTGTTACCAAGCCCAGCACCACACAAATAACCATTTTATTAACTAAGGGTCATGTAATACAGCCAGAAATAAGTAGTAGCTTTATTGATGCTCTATCTAGTGTTTAGAAACTATAATATAACATGCATAATATACAATACTCCCAATTTTCTTCACTAGGAAAGACATGTCCATAATATGAGAGTTTTCCATACATTGTTTCATTTATAATACACTGTATTGGTTTTGTGCCATCCTATTTATAAATCGATCTTGAATTACCAGAATATAAATTCCAAGAGGGCAGGGATTTTGACTCCATTGTGTACAGTGTGTCTCTAAAATCTATCAATAATTACTGAGTGAATGGATACAATAATATTAATAGTAATATAAAGAACAACAATGAAATTCAGAACATACTATTAAAAATATCCTGCCAAGTAAAGATGAGGCCGGGTGTGGTGACTCATGCCTGTAATCCTACCACTTTGGGAAGCCTAAGGCAGGAGGATCATTTGAGGCCAGCTGTTCGAGACCAGCCTGAGTGAGAACGTTTCTCTACAAAAAGAAAATAGAAAAATTAGCTGTGCTGATGGTGTGAGCCTACAGTCCTAGCTACTGGGGAGGCTGAAGCAGGAGGATCATTTGACCCCAGGAGTTTGAGGTTGCAGTGAGCTATGATGATGCCACTGCACTCTAGCCCTAGGTGACACAGCAAGACCCTGTTTCCAAAAAAAACGAAAGATGAGTTATTTTAGCAAACATATTTCCCATTTGTTCCAGGTATTTTCTCTCTTTTTAAAGTGTACCTTTGGAAATAATACCCACAACCTGAGACTTAGGAAAAAAAACAACACTCATCCAATAACAAACTTGGCCAAAATCTTTAAGTGAATTTATTTTGTAATGCCATTATTAGAGAATCTAAAAAGCAGCTAAATACCAAATAGTTTTACAGTCAGCACTAACGGGAGTAGGCCTGGGCTCTCAAATCAAAAGACCTGGACTTCCAATTAATTCAGATAGAGATCTCACAGTTCGGCCCAAGTAAATATGTCTGGAAGAAACCTCCCTACAATTTCTCCGAGGCCTCACTACTCTGAGAAAAGAAGAAAATAAAACCCCCAGAATCCATTAATCCACATCCAACAGGCTCCGCCTCTACCCCCTAGCAGAGAGCATAGGCCAATCCCAGCCTGCAACAGTCTCACTCACACCCAAAATCCTCGGACCGGGCTCTGCACATGCCAGCCTAGGGGTGGCATGACCATCCCAGGTGGCTGCGTCCCACCTGAGGCTCCTTCCTAACCCCGCCCACCTCGGCCACCGCCTCCGGAAACGGCCCCGCGCGTTGCCACGGCGACGCCCAGACAAGGTCGCTTCCACTGAGCCGCGCGGCTGAGGCTCCTGGCGCCAAGCCGCAGCGCGCCGTGGCAGCGTCCGGCGTAATGACGTCACGAGCGCGACAGCCAATGAAACGAGGCACTGAGGAAACTGGCTTGGGTTTGAATGTAGTGGCTGATTTTGAAGCGCCTGGAGGCGGACATTGAAGTGAAGTGGTCGCGGTAATCTCTCCTGAGCCAGAGGTGAGTGAGAGTCACGCGAAAAGAAAACCCTGATCTCTGGAACCTCTCCTTTTGATCACCTGTCTCTTTGGAAACGGAAGGTCCTGCTGTTTCAGGTCTGGAGGACCAGGTGGGCTTGTCGACAAACAGAAGCGTTGTGTTGGGGTGGTCCGCGTCCGTGGGGAGAAAGTGAAAGGAAGAAGGGATTCGAGAACCCGCTGAGAGCGCAGCCCTGCCTGAGCTTAGCCCCCGACTGCTCAGCTGGAAGGGCAGGGATCTCCTGCCTTAAAATCTTAGAGGAAGTCGGAAGTTTTAAAGGGCATCTTGGCCCCTTTCCCAGACTTTGACACCGGACTTAAACTGTCCGGCACATTGCAGTGGGAACTTTCCTCAGGACTCCAATTTCGGAATGTTTTATTTCAGACGCGCAAGTGAGCGTACCTCTGGGCTTATCTATCAAATGAGGAGCTTTCGTTCATCAATACATAAAGTTTTTGTCCGGTGAAGTGCTACTGTTAGGCTTGCTTTGGTCAATTGGGAACCCGCCCGGAGCCCCGGTTATAGCATCAAACAAGACAAGACCTTACTTGACTGCCTAACGGGATTGCTGAGAATTAGGTGAGGTGCAGAAGAGATACTACTTGGCAAAGTGCTCTACAAATGAAAGGAACTGGAAACGCTGAGTATCATCCCTTCTACAGCCTGTTCTTGGTTTCTGCAAGACTTTTTTTAGGAGCTCATTAGCTGCTTAGTTATAGAGAGGCCAATGCTGACTGCTGTTTACTGTATGAGAAGGGATTATTTGCCCAGAACTGGCCAATTTTTTTGTGCGTAATATATAGTTTAAGGTAACTATGGATTGGGTAGAATGCTAGGCACTCTACAGGTTGTTGTTAGTGTCATTTCACCACATCCAGCCCCCACCCCTTTGGGTTTTGGGAGTTTTTTAATGAACTTTTGTGCAGGAGAATATTAGGTTCAAAGACTAGGTAATACTTGTTATTCCGCTCGTATTACTTTCTAAGAACTATTTCAGTAAACAAAGATTATCTGCCATTAACAGTAGTAATTAATTTCCTCTTATGTTATTGAAAAATATTTACGAATTCACAAAATTTTCACTTTGAAATTGCGTTTCCTTCCACTATATATATATATATATATATATATATATATATACCGGCTCAATTAGGACACAACAAAATTACTTTTATGCTCTTGACTCTATGAAAACTTGGAGGAAAAAATAGCCCAGCTGTCAGTGGTGCCATTCCCTCCATTTGAACTTTTCATTCTTACCTGATGCTTCTAAGTTAGTGGAAGCAATGGCTCTGAGACTACTAAGGTTATTCCAAAGAGAGGTTTAAGTTAGATAGAGACTATAAATGATAATATCGACTATCAGTCATCCTAAAAAATGTTTGTTGAATCTAATTCAAATATGAGGTTGTATTTAAGAAATAATTCACAACTGTAACTTCTGTATCACTGTTTGGAAGCCTTCTCATCCAGTTCCATTAGAGCCTAGTTTGGACTTTGGCTTTGAACCTGGATCCACATTTGGCTTCCTACTTGCTAGCTATTTTATCTTGGAAAAATTACTTATGTTAAGGCTAAGTTCCAGCTTTTGTAAAATGGAGACAATAATAGAACCTATATCTTATGTAATTATAAGAATAGAATTAGATGATGAATGTTAAATGTTTACCATAATGCCTGGCACAGAAAGTATACTCAAATAATAATCATCATTGTCCATTATTACTAGTTAGTTACCACCATATCAACCTAATCCAATCATTCTTAAAGTGTATTTGCTGAGAATGGCTACTGTGTGATATCTGACAAGCACAGGGAATTCATAATCAGAGTCCATGCTTTCCCAGTGCCTACATTCTAGAAAGAAAGCAAGCAATAAAAATGTAACCAAATAGTATATATTTTCTGCATCAAGGGGGAAAAAAAGATAATTTGTATTTTCTAATTAATGCTAAATTCTAAGAAAAATAACCCTGGTAAGGGATTGGAGAGGCAAAAACAGGATGACACTATGTGGGATAGATTCTTTAGGAAAAACATCTACGTGAAGTGGCTTTATCTAGAATGAGCAATAGCTACACACGTTATGACTTAAAGATTTGTCTGTTCAACTTGGTTTATGTTACTGTGCAACTATGTAAGAAAATTTGGTTTCAGTACTTCTTCATTCAATATTGCAGAGGAATGAGCTGTTCTACATAAATAATTCTCCCAGAAATCGATTAGCCTTGTTTAGTAAATAATAAAGTATTTTAACCATGCTCTATGATGAAAATAAAACATGATCTTCACATTTCTCTAATTTTGTAAACAAGAAATTGGGAACATTATTTAACATTTTTTGATACCCCAGGGTCCCACTGAGATTGTTCTTGTCAATCATTGTACTCTACTATAATATATTGTTTCTTTTAGGGAAATACATTTTGTTTGCCTCTACTCTAAACGGGTAAATTGCTTTTTGGATTCTATGAGTACTTTTTATAGCTTATGAACTTATTCATATGTTTGAGAACTTAATATATACCAGTCTCTCTACAAGAGACAGGGGATAAAACTAAAAATAGGCAGTCCCATTAGCTGTCATTTCTTGTCATTCTCTTGTACTCTTTCTAATCATACACAATAATCATAAAATTTTGTACAAAGAAAAGGACCTGAAGTATCATGTAGTCTAACCCTTCTCCTTCATTATTTTTTCTTTTACATTTACTCTCTCTTAGACTACACAAATACTCTTCTACAGATTTAGTATCCCTTATCCAAAATACTTGAGACCAGAAGGTTTTTGGATTTCAGATTTTTGGAGATTTGGGAGTATTGGTCTTATAGTTACCAGGTGAGAATCCCTAATCGAAAAATCTGAAATCTGAAATGCTCATTGGAGTGTCATGTTGGGGCTCAAAAAATTTTGGATTTTGGAACATTTAGATTTGGTATGCTCAACCTGTAGTATAATGAGCAATGGTGTTGAAAGTATAATATATTGTCTCACCAATGAAATCCAACCAATTTGCTCTTTTGATTCTATTCAACAAATACCACTTAGGAGTAGATATGACAAAATTGATCAGAGGCTGTAAAACTGTCTTCTGAACAGTTGTCTGAAAAGAATTTGTAAATCAACATATTGTACAGATAACAATATTTTGGTTTTTCTTTTGTTGCTTCATATTAAAGATGTTTAAGGATTGGTTGTGTGCCATATTCAGAATCAACAATCAACTCTTTTAGTCAGCCATGTTAGAAAAGAAAGAGGGCATGTATTAAGTAAGGACAATCACAGTAATCCCTGCAGTTGTCAGTATATTTGAATTTTTACATTTTGATGATTCTGTTGACCTTGAGCATTTCAATTAAGAAATAATATTCACTTATTTGCTTTTGAAAAGTAGAGAAATACAGATTACTTTAAAAATTAAGATCAATGTCTTTGTTAAAATCTGTAACAAGTTGTAAAACAATGTTATATTTCACATTATACTTCTTAAATTTCTTTAGGTAATTGTCAGAATTTCTCCCTGAAATGTTACTTGAATAAGGTCTATTGCCTTCTAAAATGCCTTCAATAATTCCCAATTAACCTCAAAATAAATCTAAACTCTACAGTCTTACATTAAAGATCTTCTATACCTGGCCTCATTCTTATCTAGTTTTTATCTTTTCATGCAACCTCTTCCCTTCCCCTCTGTTCTCTCCAGCTGCTGCCGAAGGGAGCAAAGCTTCCCTTGAACATTTCTTTAGATGCTGTAGGTAAAATTACATCCATTCATCTAAATCTAACGAGTTAAAAGAAATAAGAGATTTTAACCAAATTAACCATACAGCCAATTAGCCTGTGTACTCCACACAAGCTCTTTCCCATCACAGGTTTTGGACTTGCCATCTGGAATGCTCATGGCCCAGAGACGCTTGCTCCCTCACTTTAGTCTCTTTAAAAAGTCACCCCACCAGAGAAGTTTTTCTGCTTCATCTAAAATAGGAGTCTCCACACACACTCCTGACCCTTTCTATCCCAGGGCTCAGAAAAATGCTAGCACATAGAAGGCACTCAGTAAATATTCACTAAATGCATAACTAGTTCTCCTTCCCATCCTTAATACTTTTACTTGGTTAATAACTGTCTATTCTTCAACTCTCAACTCTAGTCACTTCTTCTAGAAAGCCTTCTAACTATATTAATCCCCCATTACAGTCTTATATATAGCACTGTTAACTTATTCTCTATAACACTTGTCACAGTTATACCTTTACATTTTGTATCAATATTGTATTAATATGTTTCCCTCACTATACTGTTAAAAATAATAATAATAGCAAACACTTTAGTTCATACTCTGAGCCTAGCATTGTGGTGTTTTATCCCTACTTAATCCTTATAGTTCTATGAGGTAGGTACTATTGTTATTCTCACTTTCCAGGTGAGGAAACTGAGCCACACAAGCCTACTATCACAGCCAGTTAAGCAGTAGAGCTGGAATTTTAACCTAAGCTGTCTGGCTCTAACATCTAATAGTTAATTAATTAACTAATCGGTGAGAGATACCTTCCAACCTTGAGATTCTAAAGTCTATTTTGAAATAATGACATGATATTTTATGTTTATTTTTTTAACTATTTCATTTGTATACATTTAATCTATCATTTTTAAACAAGTATGTTAACAAGTATATCTCTTAAAGTCAAAGCATTGTTGAATATTTCAAAGCATTGTTGAATGTTAGAAAAGTGTGTGGAGGGTAGTTTTAGGTATGACAAGGACTGTGGGATATGGCTATCCTTTATTAGGCGGGGGACAAAAATGCTAAACATCCTCTAAT